CTTTTATTTGTGATCCTGCCATGCCATATACAGAATCTGTATTTCTTCATATTAAATGTGGAGGATAAATCTGAAAATGCCCCAAAAAAACAAACAAACAAAGCAACAAAGACCCCACCAACCATCCCTCTTATCCCCCCATCTTACTCAGGGAAATATCAAAAAGCATGGAAATAAAATCCAAATATTCTTGCAAAGCATCAAGCTCAGGATCACGTTTCAGATTTCTCCCTTAAACTAACACACGAGAGCACCAGAAGCTTCTGAAATTTCCTGAGGTTTTGGGTGCAGTGCTTTGGAACAAGCAGTACCACAGCTGATTTCTCAGTCTCCTGCTCTACTCCTACCCCCATACTTCCAGTCAATTTCTGCTGACTGAAAGGGCAGCTGAACAGTCAGCAGTAAATGGGGACAACTGGGAGATTCGCTTCCAAAGCACATCCCTCATCTCAGCTAAAACATTAATGTAGATGCACCCAAAGAGCCTAGAACATGTTCTTGGATTAAAACCTCTAAAATTAAGGATTACCAAGGTCGTGAAAAGGTTTCCTTCCCTTCCAATTAAAAGGACTCACAGCTTTAAATGCATTTCACACGTGTGCAGCAGCTTACTGGGAAGACGTGTGTTCCCAGCTCCAAAGACCTGCATTCCTCAGCTATGCAACCCTTGTTACCTTCAGGATTTTTATTCCATTAGTTCTTGACATTTGGAAAGTTTTTCTGTGTGGCTGAATATTTTATTTTCAGAAGAGTTCATCAACCTTTACTGTATTCTCTACTCACCAAGGCCTTCTTCCCCTTGACAGTTTTACAAAGCGCACACTACTGCACTGCAAAGATAACCGGCTGTCTCCTGTACTTCTGTTAAATTGGGTTCCTTGCCCTCTTCATGTGGCTTGCCCTCTCCCTCCCCCTTCCCTGTTTTATACTAGTCAAAAAGATTTAGTTCTCTTCTAAAATATCATATATAAATAAATAAATGCATTGCGAGTCACAAACATTAAATGCTTAATTTGAACCGGCAGAAAAACCAGCTACCGGAATTCTACAGTGGTCTGTTAGCTCGTATGTCTCGGCATGTGCATATTGAAGGAAACAGCAGAAATAATACTTTACAATTTGATGAACAACATATGACACAAAACCTCTAGACTCGCAAAAGGGTTACAAACTTGGAAAAATACCTGTCGCATGAAATTCTGCCCTCTCCAAGAATCTACATGCTCTTTACCTTAGCTGATATACAGCTGTTATCATTAACACTTGATGTATAAATACATTGGATTAAGAAAGAAAGTAATTACTAAAAATGTGAATGAGATTCAGATACTAAAAAGCGTTGGATGTTAAAACAAAAAGGATGGTATCATGACATCTGCTTTTGGGCAAAATCCTTGACTTCAACTATAAGCTTGGCTTATAACCTGTAGGCACCATAATAGCTCATACTAATTTAAATTATTTCTTTCTGGAGAAATATCTAATATCACTCTCCATTTCATCATGTATGCAGGAAGAATCCACAAATCCAATTTGGATTGGAAAGAGAACAGAAGGGATGTAAAAAGCAGTATGCATCATTATCATGGTCCTCAGAATTATCTCAACTTCAAGCTTCAGGCACAAGTATAACCTGTGAGTAATCCACGAAGCCATCACGCTATCGCAATGAGCAAGCAAAGAGACTGGGCCACCAAAAGGCACAGCAGGACGTGTTACCAAGCTTGAAAGTAAGCCTTAGTTTCAAAGAAATAAGTGAACCTGTTAAAAATATGTCTCATGATGAAGCAATGTCAATGGCTCTTAGCTAATCAGTAATTTCCATTTCTGCAATTCAGATTCTTCACCCAACAGACTGTTTTGAATTTAATGCTCCTCTGAGACTGCCTGTTCTTTCTTCCCCATACAAGATATAAATCTAGAAGGGAAATATGCTGGCCTAAAACCACCACAATTATTATATTTAGTCCTTTTCACTGAAAACTCATTTTAATTTCTGACTATGAGTGTTTGGAAGAGAAAATCTTTTAACATTTCAAACAGCTACATATTCCCTTTGCACAGAGCTATTCAGCATCCATGGCTGGATGGCTATCGTGCATTCCTTATGCAGTGGGGATGGCTTGGCTGTTATAAATTACTCTCATAAAACAGCTATTTCTGCTGCTTCCTCTGGGATTGCACCCAAGGTGAGGAACAAGCAAGTAACACTTAGCATCCACACGTGCAGGCTCAGACCCTAACAGGAGGAAGCAGACAACGATTGATCTGTGTTTTACTATGCTCCACAGTCGTCTTCTGCAGGCTGCCTTGAGGACATTGCCTTGCCTGCATAGACACGTCTGGATAAGCCACCAAGTTTCCTAACACCAACGGGCTTCTTCACCTGTCTGATTTAAAAAACACAGCCATAAACATCATTCCCTCTAGTACGGAACGGTGTGCTTTGCTCCACAGACCTAACAGAAATATCCTGGACAACACTACAAAACCAGTTCTTAAAGTGACTGCTGAAGTCATCCCTCCTCTCCTGGGCTTAGCTGCTGAGGCTCAGGGGAGCCCGGGGAAGCAGCTAGTTTGACAACGGGGCTAGCATCTAGGCAAAAAAAAATGAGCAAAATCAGGGGAAATGGCAGGACTCCAAAGCAGATAGAGTAGGCAGAATAAAATAAGGTGGGAAAATGAGATGGGGGAGGCACTGACTCAAAAAAGAAATTTAAAGAAAAATGTTGCACAGAAAATGGGAAAGGGAACTAAAGAAGGAAAAGCAGATATGTTAACTTATGATGGAGTAAATGGCCACAGCTCCCACATCTTCCAGCACCCCACTGGGTTTTTCAAGGGGCATTCCCTCATGTTTCTTTTGCAAGTGTATGCATAAGTGTATGCAGGACATACAAAGGAGAGGGGAGAAAGGCAGGCTCTCAGCAGCTGTAATCATCAGTGAGACCACTAAAATTCACGTGTCTGAGAGCAAAATCTTTGCATGGACAAAGAACCAGATCACATTGCAAAAACACATTTGTGTGACAGCCACATCTACAGAGTCAACAGACAAGGAAAGAGGAAACTTCAAATGAAACATATTGCCAGTTATTGCAACAACAGGAGGGATGAAGATGAACCAGTAGGAAAAAAAAATCCAGCTGCAAATATCCAACAGTTCATTTTTGCTCTTTTTCAGTGTTTTTATGGAGAAACACACTGCATTTCCAGTGGACGTGAAACAAAGAGATTTGGGTTCTTAAACTTTATCTGGTACACACTACGTTTGAACGTTATCATCTCTCCTAACCACCCTCTGATGTCTGATAGTGCCCCTTTAACCTCTGTTACTCAGTTACTGAGCAAGTTATCTCACTGGTACTCTTTTTTTTGAAGAAAGAGTCCTGCCTCTTTTCATGCTGATAAGAGACACATAAATACTCACTCCCAGCAAACATTTAATAGTAAAATGTCTTGAGCAAACCGCCAGAGTCTAAAGGTAGGAAGCTGCAGCTAACTTCTCTGCTGTCTTAACCCTTTAGTCAAGCTACCAGAACAGACAGAAGAGATTGAGTATTCTTTCTTACAAATGAAGCCAAAATAAGTGTTCTCTTAAAGAATGGACTAAAACATGCTTTATAACATTAAAAAAAAATCAAACAATTGGAAGTGGAATATCTACCCATTTTCTGGGCCGGCCTCTGGGTCGCTTTTCACCAGTTGCTTCTGCTTTCTGTAAAGGGAAAAGAAACACATCATATTTTATACTGCAACATTATTTAAAAGCCTTGGTAACTAGGAAGTCCTTTCCTGCAACATTATCCATAATTACATTTCTCAGGTGGCACCAAGCCTCCAACTTGCTTGAATCTCCTTTTTTTGTAGTGGGGAATGTGATTATGTTCCATGTGCCAGAGCGGAGAGGCTTGTGTGGACACCTTGCCAGGGCAGACTGGAGTCTCATGATGCTTAAGTATCAATGGATTTGAATGGCTGTCACCATAAACACATGATTATTCATATTTGGAGGTGCTTTTCTACTTTATGTGACGTTTTCCAGGTAAAGGCACATCCTTAAGCTCTAAGGGAAGCTTTGCCTGTTCCAAAATATGCCTTCCGTTTTCAGGCTTGAGGAAACAGCATGGAAGGTGCCCTAAGTGACAGTTCTATTTATGTAAGCACAGCAGTTGGTCCTGAAGCTCAACTTAAAGGAAATGCATGTTTTGCTAAGGACTATTCCATTAATTCGCTCTGTGACACTGTGAAAAATATTACTTACACACTACAGTAAAACACTGACAGACTTCTAAATGCAAATTGCAGGTTATTTTCTCCAGACAGGCCCTGCCTGTACACGTGCCTACATATAAATCTCAGGTCAATAACCCTGCCCTATTGATGATGGCGAGAATTTTGCCACCAGCTCAAGTGAGAGCAGGACTCGTGCTGCATACGAAGTCCCACAGAACAAAAACTTTCTGCACACATTCTGTAAATGCATTTCCACATTTCCATGACTTGCTTCTTTCCAGCTAACTGTATGTGTATTTGATTTTCCCTTAGAAATCAACTGTCTCATTAAATCAATCACTTGCTGGTCAACCTCTGTAACATACACTGTAACCCTATGCTGTGCAAAGTGGATCCCTCTAAAAGAGAACTTGAGCTGAGGAAGTAGCGGATGAATCTCTACAGAAAGACTGCACTGCAAGTTCAGTGAAATAACTTTGAAATAAATATCTCATCAAGAAGAAAGCTGTGAAAAAATAAAATTCACACTCCTAAAGGACAAAATTATCACTCAGACTTGTTAAAAGGTAAACCTGCTCCTTAATAGTTTATACCAGTGTTACATGTAAGGCGAAACCCTCTTATGAGAATACTTGTTAAAGTCCATTTGCTATATGCTGTAGCTCTCTATTTCAGAGTTTTGATTCCTTTTAGAGTGTTCTTTTCCATATAGCCTGAAGGATGCAGAGAAAGGATATGTTTCAGTTTTGAAAATCTGTAGTCCCTGCATTTATGCTTATTTCAGAAACTACACAGGGCACATATCTTCAAAGGAAGTATTAGCTGAGATTGTTCTTAACAAATCAACAGCTGGCATGTCATTAAGCACAAACACAGGCATCTTATTCTGTATTTTAGTACATTTGATGGAAAGACCTTTTTCCTACAGTCTATGAAAAAACAAAAAACGTAATTTATTGGAAACTAAAACTAACCTGGTCTCATAATGAAAGTTCCTGAAAACATGACACAAATTTTAACTGCATTATATAATATAGTTGGATGGGAACAAGAACATGGGAGATTTCTTTGACTAACTAATCTTTGCTTTCTGTCCTAAACTGTCACGCAGGACGGCCGCTTGCCGTTAGCAATGCTGCGCTTTGCCCCAGAGGAAGGGTCATGTCAGAAGCAGCTAGTGTTCCTGCTGGATAGTTTGTGTATCAGTTTGTCAAGTGCCTGGGGACCCTTCAGAGT